GAACAGAATCGCTGGCGCAAATACCATTGATGAGGGCAAAAGAATGTGAGACGGAAGGCATGGTGCATTCAGACTGACCGTGCATGTTGCTGGGGGTTGTTCCAGCTGCAACAAGGGATGCTGAAGAATGCTGCGGGGCGGCTTTCTTATTAAGACATACACATTCACTATTTATATTTAGTAACTACTTCAGCACCCTTGGACACTGTAGAAAAGTAGGAAAGTTGTCACTCATGGCATGTTGGCTTGAGAAGCGACACTACTTCAGCACCCTTGGACACTGTAGAGAAGTAGGAAAGTTGTCGCTCATGGCATGTTGGCTTGAGAAGCGACACTTAAAATGCTGATGTATGTAGCACCAAGATGGTTCCAAGTGCCTTATGACTTTTATTAAAGAAACCTCCTCTCTTCCTCTGGAGTACATGAAGACAAGTCCAGCTGTTTTTTCTTTGTGAATGCTTGGTCTTTCATACCCAGTTCTGTGAAGAAGGTATAAATGAGGGCCTAACTGGAGGATATGAGTTTGCCCTAAGATGTCTCTCATATATATACGAGGAGCTGCGGTGGCTCAAGTAGTTAAGACACTGAACTGCAGGCTGTGGAAGGTCGGTAGTTCAGCAGTTCGAGACCCGAGTGTGCCGCATGACGGAGTGAGCTCCCGTCTCTAGTTCCAGCTCCTGCCAACCTAGCAGTTCGAAAGCAAGAAATTGCAAATAGATAAATAGGTACCACTTTGGTGGAAAGGTAACAGCGTTCCGTGCGCCTTGGTGTTTAGTCATGCCAGCCACATGACCACGGAAACGTCTTCAGACAGCGCTGGCTCTTCGGCAAAAAATTTAAAGTCCCTGCAGAAAATAGAATAAAACAAGAAAATGCTTCAACTAAGGAAACAGGCTCTTTCTTGGCGGTGTAGTCTGGGCTATCCATGCACTTCCGTAACCACAGGATTTGCTTCTGCAACTCTGCCTTTTTGCCTACCAGTTTGGAGACCTCCTTCTTAGCATCAATGTCCTGAGTCATATTAACCAGATGCGTGTTGGGAATTCTTTGCTTGGAAATAATTCCAAAGCATATGGGGGCACAATTTGGATCAGGATCATGGCCCCCATTGCATTTTCTTGACTTGAAGCAGCCCTAGGGAGTGGTTCAGGATCATGGCCCCCATTGCATTTTCTTCAGCCCTAGGGAGTGGCTATTTGCCCTGCTGTGGAAACTTATCTATATGCTACCTGTACACATAGGTTTCCCTGGTAGCAAACTGTGGCTACTTAGGGTAGTGTCAGGTCATGAAAATGGCATGGGGGGGAGGCTTAAGCCCCCTCTCTTTTTGTGGTCCCAGTCCACATCAGGCTCCCATGTACCTAGGAAATAAGTTCTGAACATGGAACTCCTAGAGCAGTCCAACAGAACACAAGGCACACCTCTAAACGATTTATCATGTAGTTAGGCCCCGAGGATATATAGTGTAGGATATATAGGATAGGGTTCAGGAGACCCCCAGACTGGTTTGTGAATGAGGCTTGAGATACGAATACATTTTTTCATAGATAATGAAGCCAGCTATGAAAATGCATCGCAAAACATGTATGTTGCGTGCAAAAAGGAAAATGGGAGCGCTTCATTAATGCCTGTGGAGCCCTTACTGTAATATGGTTTTCAGTATGTTGCCTAGACTTTTAGTATGAGCTCACAATGTGGGTTTTTTGGTTCCTGCATCGCAAAGATAGTTGTGAAAGGCCATTAAACTTGCAAGCCCTGGGTTGGATGTAGCCAGCTTTTTCACTCAATCTCTCCTTATTCCCATCTTTATACAGCCCCATTCCACATGGTGTTTGATTCATGATCCTCAACATACCCTTTCTGGTAGTCAAAAGGACCTCTTCTTTCTTTTTCATCAGTGGAAAGGCATTCACCCCCCTGTGAATAATGACATAATAACAACACTAATTAAAAGTTCATCAGTAGAAAAAGTTACATACATGCATTAGTAGAGAGGGCCTATCTTTGTCTTAACTCTCTAATGTAGAAGAAGATGGAGTGGATCAGACCAATGCACAGTGAACAGATATCCCAAACCATTCAATAGTTGCTATAGAAATGACCTTTAGAATGTACTAAAGCTGAACAGGCCAACATTAATAATGCTTTGTTCCATTCTGGAAAAAGAAATCCATACCATTAACTAGTTCAAATGCCCTTTGGGTAAAATCTTTCATGTGCAGGGAAAAGAGAGATGCTGGTTTAGATCAGAGCTGACTCATTTGTACCTGTCACAGCACATTTATTTTCCACTTTGGAACTCAGTAGTTGTGGAAACCTCACACCTATAATTAATCACTGGGCCCAAAATATCGATAACTTGCTACTAGCATTCTATGAGTAGCAGGATGTTATTTTTAACCACATTTTTTTTTCACACTTCTGTGGAACTACGGTAATTCATGATTTTGCAATATAACCATAAAGATTTTTCTGCCTATTTTGACTTTATGCTGGGGTCCCCTCCCCCGAATGATACCAGTCATGCTTTGCTGGCAAGCTGATCTGTAATACACTTGATGGGGAAGAGAGCTGGGCAAATCTATGGAAGGACCGAATTTAGGGCAATGAAATTTGAATATAATTTCAGTTCTAGCTTCAGAGTATAAGAATTTGTTAGCTTTTCACTAATGATGATAATACTAGACTGAACTATTTAAAAGTAGTCTTGGTTTCACGTACTAGCGTAATCCTAGCCTTAGGCAGTTTTACTACTTTGTTTACTTCTAAACCTCTGTTTCCCATGTGTGAAACAGAAATAGCTATTTAGGGTCAAGCTAGATGTGAGGGGAGAAGAATTCCATGTTTATTTTGAGAACCAGCACGATGTAAGTGGTTAGTGTTGGTTTGTGATCTGAGAAACCCGGGTTCAAATCCCCACTTTACTATGAAAGCTTGTTGGGTGTCCTTGAGCCAGTCACAAACAGCCTAACCTACTTCACAGGATTGTTGTGCGGATTAAATGGAAGAGACAAGGAGGAGGCTGCACACACAGGGAAGCCATATGCATGGGCAGGGGGTAAGTAAGGGGGGGTGAGGCCCAAGGGCGGCTGGACCACATGGGGCCAAGCACCCTTCGCTGCATTGAACACAGCCCCCTTTCTACATAAGCCCTGGGTAGCCTGCCCTGACATGGTGCCCACTTCTGCCTCTCCCACCTATACTAGTCATTTGACACACCCACTTACTGCCAGCGATGGTAGAGAAAGTGCCATACCCGGCAATATCAGACATGCATGCTCCATCTGTCAGACAGTACCTGCCTGGATTGTTTCCACCTGGACAGAGCAGCCATCCAGGCCCTATGCAAGGTGCTCAGGCCAGCGCTAAGCACGCCCCCCCATGCCACTCCTCTTCAGCAGAAGGTCGTGCTCTCCCTCAGGTTCCTGGGCACTGGATTCTTCCAAAGGTTCATGTCAGGTTCTCAAGGTGTTGCTGTCTGCTAGGCTTCCTGGATGCCATGCTGGCCAATTTACAGGAGCGTGTGTGCTTCCTCACAGAAAAGACAGAGCTGGTACCCATCTAGGCGGGGTTCATGGCATTTGCTCCCTCATTGCCTCCCTGGAGGACCTGCAGGTATACTGCAGTGTCCATTGGTTCTATAGCCTGAATGTTCAGGCATTCTGCGATCACTCACCAGGGCATTTTCACAGACCTCGTGGTCAAGTTCTTCGGCAATGTGCATAATGTGCTGACTTTTGTGACATCTGGCCTCCACCACCTGTTGGCCATGTGGCCAGAGGGCAAAGGATGGCTCCTGGGTCAGTACTGGGGGGGGGTTAACGGGCCCAGGAGGCATCACTGATTAGGTGATCGCATATTCCTTCTGCTCTCATATTTGCTGACACTGTATCCTGGAGATGATCTGCCAGACTGTGCAGCCCACAACCAAGCCCGCTGCCAAGCACATGTGATTGAGCAGGTATTTGGGCAAATGAAGATGCATTTATTTCCTCTATATGGGAGGGCGTCAGGCCATGCAGCCCCTGGCAGTGGCCAATCTCTTCATCGTCTGTGCAGTGCTCCACAACATGGCCTTGCAACTACAGCTGGCGCCACCCCTTGAAGGAGGCCTGCTGGAGGCTCCTTGGGTTGTGGACAGGACAATGAGCAGTCAGAGGAGGCAGCAGTGAGGCAGATCATCAGGAGACACATGAAGTGGGTGCAGGAATACATCTGGCACCAGAGGCACCCTGCCTCTCAGGCCACCTTTTGGGGCCCTGCACCCTCTGGCACCCTTGGGGGTGGGATGTGGCCTGGTGTAGAATGAGCATGGCCTCACCGTAATATTGCCATCAGTTGGGGTTCTCCACAAGCCTAACGCTTCAACCCCTCCCCTGCCAGGTGTCTCGCCACTCCTGCGATGACAGTGTGAATTCCCCATCAGCAAGGGAACTCCCCATCAGCAACAATTCCCCATCAGCAAGGGAACTCCCCATTCATTCAGCCTGGCCACATGTGCATGAGTAAGGGCATGGGTGTAATGCTGGCACAAACTGCTCCAATGGCTACTGCAGCCACAAGCCCCCGCGCATCCAAATGCCACCCTGTATCACAGGGGGCTGCAGGAAATGGCCAGTAAGGTGCACCTGGGAGGAGAGAAGGGCCTTCCAATGCCCCTTTTTTGGGTTTGTGTTCTGCTTTTAATATTTGCTTTTCTCTCTCAAGAGAGGAAGGGTTGACAGTGACTTCCAAGCAAGGGATTCCCACATTCTGTGAGCAACAAGAATTCTGCAGCATTTGTACATGGATTTGTTTCCGCTGGCTGAAGCAATCTACAGAACCAGACTTTTTTCTGAGCGTCCAGCCACACTATAACATGGGTGGACCTGCGCACCCACCTCATGAAGGATGGATGCTCCTAGCTCTGAGCACACTGCCCCCCAGGATAACGAACAGGCAGCTGAGACCTGGCACAGCATCCATAGGAACTGCATTTTTCATTATGGTCATCACGCTTGGCTACAGCACCAGCCGGAAGCCTGACGCACACAATGACCATGGCACTTATTCTTTTTGTGAACAGACCCTGACAACATCCATTCCCCATGGCTTTCTCTCATTTTCCCTTCATGCCCTTCATTAGCATACCCAAACTGGACCGAGGTTGCTGGGATCCACCTGGCCCTTCCCAGCCTCCATAGTGCTAGACCACCTGAAATCAACCAACATTTCTGGGAGAGGCAAAAGACAGCCATCTGAGGAAAACACT